ATTTTCACAAAGGGTGGCGTTGAAAAATTTTCCACTCCTTAAGGGGGCGGCAGCTTCAAAAAGGTGGAGAATCACTGAGCTAGATTATCAAGTCCAACCACTTTCTCAGTGCAGGAATCTACGTTAATTCATCCCTGGCAAATGTCTGTACTATATCTGCTTGAACTCATCCAGCAAATCAGAACCCACTACTTTCTTACAGCTTTACTGTAAAACTAATTTTAATGCATCTGCTCTTACATACATATTTAGAATTAATTCTAAGACCACCAATTTATGTTGTCTATCAGAACTCAATTGAGTTCACAGTTCTTCCGAGGAAAAATCCATCCCTCAGTCCCCCATGTATTTGTATTTATGTTTATATTCATATTATTTGTCTATTTATCATTCCAGCAGCATCAGGCAATTGGCAAGCTCATTTAGTATTGGTACTGTCAAACCACTGAAATGTAAAACCTTTTCCCCAATATTCCAGATTAACCAACAATGTAATATTTGCCAACCGAGATTTAGTTTTTTCAGTGGTGTCCAGCTGGAATCACAGGTTCCTTGAGCAGGAAAGGATCATATAATAGTAAGAAAAAAGGCAAGGCGACAAGGACAATAACCTTATCCCTCTTGATATCCATAGTATCTGGCATTCCTCTTGTAGCACTGAATTCCAGAATTATAAACATATGGGGAAGAGGAGATGATTTTTATTGCTTTTGTTGCCATAAATAAATTATTCTTATGTTACTGTCTGGATGATTTGATTATTTCTTAGCTAATGAGAGTATCCATACAGACTCAAGACTACCTGTTAACCCTGTGAAGTAGTCCAGACAAGAAGCACAACCAGGAGTACTAGCCCTGTCTTTGTTGTAAGGTTATATTAACAGAATCTTGCAAGACTGAAAGTATTTCTCCCCTCCTTTCCTTTTACTCTCCAGAAAACTAGGGAGGGTCCCTTCTAAAACATTTTAACAGAATCTTGCAAGACTGAAAGTATTTCTCCCCTCCTTTCCTTTTACTCTCCAGAAAACTAGGGAGGGTCCCTTCTAAAACATTTCCCACATCCTTCCTCCTTCTGTGGGCTGAGATACCTTTTACACCCTGGTTGTCTAGTCTGCGGATTTCCCAAGGTCATTCCCACATATCGATGCACTACCTTTGGGCACAATGACATATAAGCTTCTTTTTCTAGGAATAACTCTTCATGCTCTATAAATGATGTGGAGTGGCTTCTCCAGTAATTACACAATTAATATACAAATTCAGTAAATAATAATAATAATAATAATAATAATAATAATAATAATAATAATAATAATAATAATAATAATAATAATAATAATAATAATAATAATAATAATAATAATAATAATAATAATAATAATAATAATAATAATAATAATAATAATAATAATAATAATAATAATAATAATAATAATAATAATAATAATAATAATAATAATAATAATAATAATAATAATAATAATAATAATAATAATAATAATAATAATAATAATAATAATAATAATAATAATATCTGGAGTATATTATGTTTATTTCCATCCGTACAGCATTTAGGCCAGCCCCAAAACTGGAATGGATGGATTATTGGATTCATTCCTTCTTTTCTGTGGAAGGCCAAACTCTGAAAGTAGTTATATTCTGTGCTATGCATCTGTTTTCCAAGGCACTGGATGGCTTCTTAAAGCTCAGTACTGGGCAGGAAAATTTTACAATTCTGCTATGCCACCTAGCTCAGATTTGAACTTCTAGTATTTGTTTCAGATAATTTCAATACATTTAATGAAGCATGAAAAGGCAACCTTCTGCCAAACTATAGCATTCATGCTGTATCCTAATCCTTCAAAACAGTTCATTGAATCTGTACAATTTGCATCATGATCATCATCTACTCACCTTCCATGATTGTCAGAGGATCTTCCACTTTGGGGCGGAGGATGTTGGGGCCAAACACAGTAGCAAGATTTTGCACACTCATTTTGTTGACTCCAGAATAGGACTGAACTTCATCCAGGAATCTGCTCAAACATTCAGGGGATCAGGGGTAGGGCAGGAAGAGGGTGAAAGTCCAGGATTCAGTCATATATGATGACAGGATCTCATTAGATATGTCACACTAAGTAAAATTAGGAATGGCATGCATTAATTGTTTTAAAAATAAATGCACAGCCTTTGCTGCAGTCTTGATTTGGATTGCTTGTCCTGTTTTCTGGACTTGCTTTTATATTGGAAGCTTCTCTTCCCCCATAATGGAGAAAGACACATGATTCAAATAGACTGCAGAAGGTTAAACACTCCCTTTCCTTCCAGGGCCTGATCTGGATTGGCTGATTCTCATCTATTATCTTTTCAACAGCCATTTGTGCAACTGCTAACTATATTGATTATATTTTGTTTACTTTGGTCCACAGAAAATTTCCTTTTGTATAGAAATTGCTTGAATTTGAAAAAGAAACTGGAAAACAAAGCAAGAAAGAAACAAAAGATCAAAACTCTAGAAGAGTACCAATGTTTGGCTAGATTCCAGGAAGAATAACTACTGTTCTTCACTCGGTTCTCTGTAAACTCTCTTCCTCCTATTCATGTATTCTTTATATTGGTACATATTGTATTGAATCCAGATGTACCTCTACAAAAAATGGATTTACTAAAACCATTGGGACTTATATTGGCTCTATTGATTCCAGTGAGCTATTACTATTAGAGATCAAACAAACCACTAAAGGGCTTTGCTTTATTTTGGCTTAGCATGTTGTATGAACCAAACTAAATCATTATGGTTTATACGGTATGATTTATGGCTCAGTATGTTGTATGATTCCAGATCATTATGGTTTATTCAGAAAACCATGGTTTAGCAGAACTTATGAACCAAATCTATGACTTACTCTAGTTCCCACCCAAAGTATCTCACTGAAATCAATGGAACACACAACTGGAATAAATTTCAGTTATAATTTCTAAGGACAAGGCATTACTTACAATTCCTCAGTGGTCACTTTTATACCCTCCCCCCTTTCCAAAAATAGAGAATAACTCCTGGTAAAAGAACCAATTCAAATGTTATTCTACTGGCAGAAGAATGGTTGTCCAATGTTCCAATTACATTCTCTTCCAATAACATGATTACCTTCTAGGACAAACAATGCTGCTTTCTGGAGGGAATGGACCATAACTCCCATCATTTTTAGCAAGAAGGCTTTATTGCCAGAGGATGATGGTAACCACAGTCAAACATATCTGGAGACCATCAGACTAAAAGACATAGCATTGCATTTAGCCCCAATGTGGGTAAACATAAATTGGGAAATTACTACATCTTGCTACACACAAAATAGAAATGAGTCCTCTAAAGTAGAAATAACTAGACTTCCTCAATTTAGCATCTCCTGATGTGATGGGCCTGGAAGTCTCAACAATCTCAGGCAACATGTTAGCAAGCAATGTGGGGTTGAAGTCCCAATATAGGACTCTCATATTTGCCATAAGGGTTCAGACAAAAATCAACTGCTCCACAATTACCTCAATAAAACTGATGCAAACAACTGTGCTATCTAATGATATATTTGGGAACCCAGATATTACAGCCACATTATGACTTTTTTGCCAGGACGATTTACCTGCAGATGTACTTTAGTAGATTAAAGTTGACGAGCGGCAAATTCTTCACTTGCTTTGCTAATTCATTCAGCCCCTGTATGAATATTGTAAAAAAGTAAAAATGGCCAGAATAGAAACACTAGAAATCTGACCTAAACATCAATTTCCTCAGTGATCATCTCCTTTTAAAATAATTCTCCATGAAGACTATGAAGCACCCTGAAACAATCTGAAGATTATAATTGCTGCTAACTTAAGGGTCACCCTTTAAGCTGGTAACAGAAAATACTGACTGATTGCAGATATAGTATTGAGTTCCTGAGATTGGTGAAAGCAGCTAGATAACAATGTCTGGGCAACCTATCTACATATGCCACTTTGAGAAGGCATGACTCTACCTCGAGGGAGCCCTTGACATAGTGTTTCTCAATTGACCCTTTTCGGGGGCAGTGGGGCTTCTCAGTTGGTTTACTCAGCAGTGATACTTGCCTTTTCAGTTTCTCACCAATATTGTTTTGCCAATATTGCATTGCTCACAGCATTCACTTCTGACTGGCACTCCATTCTGGGGAAAAACTATTACAGGGACTGGTTGTGGTTCCCGGACTTGAATTCTATCATGCAAAATGTTTCCATATTAAGCGATTTAAATAACGCATTCCAATTAAAAATCCCTTGCAGAGTGTTCCAAGGTTAGAACCTACAAGAAACCCAAGGCCCTACCTAGACGCTCCTTGGCAGATCAGAAATAATGCTATTTTTTTCCCTCTGACTCACCTGATTTCCCTTCCCCAAAGAATGGGATGGAATTAATTGATACCAGTTTCAGAACGGAAACTATATTGGAGACCTAGGAGGGCTTTAAATCCAGCAGATCAATAGCCCGCTTAGAGCTCAGGTTCTGACCCAACTTTAGCATGCCTTGGACCCACCTTGGAGCAATGCTCATGAAAAATGAAGAGAAAACATGAGTAAACACTGCTACAAATTCAATTTGATCTTTTACTGTGGTGTTAAGAGGGCTGAAGCAGTCTTCTTCAATCTGCATCCACAACTGAAGTTACCAGGACTCTCTTAGGGAGAAACCGACTGGAAGATTAATTGCTGGACTGTTGTGATGAGTTTCCATAATGTCCAGAGAATAAAACTGCTTGCATTTACAGTTGGATGTTGGTTGAGCAAACCCAGATGTGGTTGGTGTTCCTGTTCCTTGATGACCCCTTGTCATTTTCCACAAAAGCATAGGATTCTGTTCTTAATTTTTTGTAATGAATGTGAAGGATAATTAAAAGGCTTGTTCATCCTTTTAATCTGGCACTGGATTCAACCATGTATTCAACCATGTTTGAATCTGGCACTGGTGGGTTTGAGGTTGCTAAATAGGCAGGCCCCTCACTTTGATCAATGATGTAGCCTCTTTAACAATGATCGTGGTCCTTTCCAGGTTGTCAATAGCTACAGTTAATGAATTTAAATTGTGTACATGAATGGGAATTTGCTTTCATTTTTAAATTAAACATTTGCAAAATTTTTAAACAGTTTGTAGAAGCAATTGTAAGAATTTGGGATTGGGGATTATAAATGGTCTAATGTGGAGCAATGTAGAAATGTCATATACTTCTGTTCTTGATGGATGATGACCCTTACAAACAATGGTTCTATTCTGGTACAAGGCAGCTTATCTGCTATTACCACACAGAACTGAGATATCCAGCACCTACAGAGCTAAGTAGGAACTAAATTCATTCAGAATCCCCAGATAAGGAGATTTAGGTAATCATATAAATCCAAACCAAGAGAGAAAACTCACCGTTTCCTTTTCTTTGCTGAGCATTTTGGCACAGGAAAGAAACTCTTCGTATTTGGAATATGGGATAACTGGCTCAGGGAGCTCCCTGAGATAGAGTTTCAGAAGCGATGCCACTGTGTGCACATCTGTATTTCTGCAGAAATGGAACAGAAAATATTCAGTTGTAAATGTAAGATTAGATCTTTGAACACCTCATATCCATTTTGGACCTCTTTGGATACTTCTGAAGCAAGTCATATCACCTATTCCAAAAATCTATGTATGCTAAAAGTAGGAGAAACCTCTATTTATTTGAAATAGTGATCTGGTTTAGTGTCCTAATCTTGACCAAGTGTGAGGACTGGTTGATTAAGTATCCAAAATTTAGTATATCACTGCACATTAATGGAGAACTATTTATGTATTTAAGGGTTGTCTTGATTTTGTTCCAAAAATGCCATTGCTGAGATGAGAGGCCTCATGTAACCTTCATAACGAATAGTTGTGGCTAGTTGTAAACAGCAAAGACACAAAGGTATGTTAGGGATCTATTAGAGGTATTTAGTTTCATAGAGGTATATAAAACAAAAATGCAAAGTAATGAAAAAGTTGAACTAATACAGTATTTTAAAACATTTTTATAATGAAGTCTTCTTCTGCAAAAGTGAAGGTCTTGCATTCCTCAATCGGTTGCTCTTTTTGTAACATTTACTGTATCAATTGTTTTAGTATTTCTTCACTGGATATGACTTGATGTTAAAGAGACAAGTCTGATCAAAACATTCAAATGTATTTTTCTGCTGTATGTTTTAAATCATGTGGTGTGTTGTATGTTGGTCTTTATTTTGTACACAAATGATAAATCTAAACAACATCCTATATGCATTCCATTCCATTGGTAATTATGAAGAAATGCCCCCTTTGTTCAGAAGTTAAAAAAGTCTCCTTCAAGTTGAATTTAGATAGCTAAGGCCTTGGAAATTGTGTTGGATCCATATAGCCCCACTAGATGGTGCTCTTGTAAAATAAGATTATAGAAGAAGTTTTGTAGGCTCAAAGCTCAAAGCTCATTTATTCATGGCAGAGAATAATTATTATACCAAACTTAATGATCATTCTGGAGGCAGGATTTAAGTCCACTGAATAACAAGTGTTCCTTAATTTTTAAAATGAAAACTTTCCCGTCTCAAAGCTGAGACAGAACTGCATCTCAGAACTGAGGATTCCTCTACTCTAGATATACAGTATATGAGTCAGAGAACTGCTTATGCATCAGTGAAAAAGAGGAATTGCATCACCAGAGGGAGATAAAACATAAAGTAAAAGAGGAACCACTTTCCTCCAAGCTAAAAACACCCTACATGGAGTACACATATTCTGAGTTATTAGATTTTGGCAGTGTGTGACTCAGACACTGTAGTTTGTCAGTCATGGTTTATCGCATAGCATGGCATGTATGAACCAGGCCACTGTGGCTCATTCAACAAATTGATGAGAATACATCGTGGTTTAGCTTACTGTGTGAGCCCACCCTAAGAATAGCATGACCTTGACAAAATGTACTGTGCATTGTGCTAGTACCATTTCCATTAAGACCAGAATTGTTGCTAGCATACAAGGCACACTTCTGCAGAATTCCACTTACTGCCCTCCCAAACGTTTTTTTCAAATTATTATAATTTAATTATTATTATTATTATTATAATTATATGAAGGCCTGCTGGGTTGCAGGTATAGGTTCTGTCACAAGCCTCTGAGTGTGCACGTGCAAAGTCACAAGCTTCTGTTGTTGATATTGTACCTCCTTCTGTTTTTTTTAAATTGCAGCTGGTGTCCCCTCTCTCCTGCACACCCGCAATCTGCATACCGGGTTATAGCAGCCCCGATTAAGGCATTGCAACCATCATTGTACAAAAGGTGATATGCTTCAAAATTCCTGATATTCCTCCTTTCGTGGACCTTTCTGTAACCCCTGTAAAAGAGGCACTCACAAGCATTGTGCCTACTGCAGTAACTTCATCTCTCTTGGCAAGTGCTTTGATAAAAAGAGTAAAACAGAATAGACAACCCCCCACCCACCATCTTGCTTAAATGCTGAAAGTGATCTTTGTGAAACTTTGGTGCAGACCAACACATGTTCTTCTTTGATAGTGTGCAAAATAATTCTTAATGTGACCTGGATTAAATAAGACATGGTTACATTCCACCTCCTCCCCTCATTTTTCTCCCACTTTGGTCAACTGCCAGCTTCAGTTTTTCATCTTTCCTCTCCATAATTAAATATTGACCAAAGTTGGTAAGAAACAGAACGTCAGAAACAGTGGTGTGGTTTCCCCAACAGGATGAAATCATATAATTATTGGCTTTGTTTGGATTTAGGATGTTGTGTGAACAGCAACCAATTCGATCTTGAATGAAAAGTTCTGGGTTCAAATTGCTCTCATCTGTGAACTACATGCAGTCATCTTGGGTTGATTCATTCCTCACAAAAGGTTAAATTGAGTTTGTCTCATATACCTTATCCCAAGTTCGTTGAGAAAAAACAATACAAAATACAGGTATAAACATAAGCATGTAAGACTCAGGGCCATCTGTGGAAGAGCGGTCAGAATCTGCAAGATGGTGGGTGCAGCATCACTACTGAAGCCCCATCACTTTTAGATCACATTCATCAGATGGCTTTGATCACCCATACCTGCCACCTTGCAGATTTTGACACCCACATCCACATGGATACCTTTGGTAGGACTACTAACTACTAAATGCATTAAGTAGTTTCTACTGATTTTAGCTAAGGCATTTTTTTCATAACAGTATTCCTATGCTTTATCTTTCTCTTCTAATGTACTAACATGAGATTTGACCTATAAGTGAGTACTGGGAAAATGAATTAATTGGACAACTATCACTTGGCTGCTTTTAAGCCAAGTTGAATTTTTGTACAGAAACATACTTTGCCAAAGTAATATTATTATACAGCTGCTTCAAAATTACTAGGAGCATTGAACGATGACTGCTATTTTCTAAATTAGGATTGATTTCCTCTCTATTTCCTCTCTATTTCCTGCATAATTCAATGTTTTGCTCCTTTTTAACAGCAGCTACCCATTATTCCCTGACCACATAAACATCCTCCCCCCCAACTCATCTGGGCCATAGTCTACGAGAATGGTGTATGGTATCTGTACTGTTGTGGCTGGTGTTTAATGCTTCTGTAGAGAAGAATTCCTACTAAAAGGTTTTAGAATGTTGATATAGCAGGACTTATCACAGTCATGTCAAATCTCCTTTCTATTTGAAATGATTAGCAGAAAGCCCACAGACATTTGGAATATTCTAAATTCTTGCCCCCTCTGCTTCAATCTTTCACTGCTTCCTCATTTTCTTCCCTTTAAAGAACCATGTTAGAAGAGCTTATAGGAACAGATAAGTTCATTGTTCATGTTGTGCTTACACCACTGGCCAATAAACCTCTCATAGGAAGACAAAATAAAGGCTTTGGGGTGTGCAAACAACCACAAATCTTTTCCTGTGCAATTAAGCAGCCTGGATTCAGAGCACATTTTATCCCAACCCCTGTTGTCACTGACTTCCTTCCCAGCAATTGCTGTGTCAACAAGATTTTTTGCTTTGTGGCATTGAAGAAATGGCTGTCAGGCCAATTACATAGCCTGGAGCAGTTCGGCCTGTAAACATGGAGGCACAGCAGCTGATCTTACATACACAAGGAACATTTACATGAAGAAGCAAACATGGAGACTGCAGTGTGCCCAGGACACCACTGCCAGCATTTGGAGACAGTAAGGCAACCAACTTCAGGCAGAAGGTGGAGAAATGTAATGGAAGAAAGGCTGCCAGATTGCTTGTGGCTTCCAAAAATATGTGAATTTGCCCAAATTACAATAACAATACATACTTTTCAAAATTAAATTAAAAATGGCTGAGACCTTGAAATCAGGAGTTTCCATGAGTTTTTCAGGTGATATTGCAGGAATCTTGCCAATTTGGAACAATTGATGGGAGATGGCCTGCCTCTAGTTTCTATACCACCCTCACTAAATCATATGCTCGGTGACCCATCTGTAGCATGAATTTCTGCAAGACATTTCCAAATCATGAACATGCTGTTATGCCTCTACTGTAATGGAGGCTTCAAAATACTAGTGCATCTTCTTGAAGAAAAACAACTCCAAGACCTGTGCTTTTGTTATGGCTTGGAATGATACTGTAAATATGGGTAATTTAGTGAATTTGTTTACCAAGTGATTGAAAAAAGTGCCTCGGTTTTAGTACTCCTTGGACAGAAACCTAAACAGAGACAACAGGATTCCTCTCCTTTACAAAGTGGTCTATTCAGAGAGAGCGGTAGGAGGATTCTATATTTTTCTGCATTGCTCCCAACTGCCCTTTCCCCTGTCCTAATATTTCCCATTCCACCACTGGTCATAATGCCCCAGGCCAGGAATGCCAAAAGGCACTCAAATCAAGGAGAGTGACCTTTGGAAAAGAGTCAGGGTCATTTAGAATGAAAAAGAGAATAAAATGATGGATGTCAACTTGTTTGTTCAAAGTTTTCCCATCCATGAAAATCATCCACTGTAAAGAACTGAAAAAAATAAAGGAGAATTAATTTTATCTATACAGTTCCTTCCAAGTAAAAGGAATACGTTCACCCCTATTTTGGAGCTAAACCCCATTTTTAAGACAGTGTAATTAATCTCTCCCTTCAATTCAAATGTAGAACTCAATTTTTAAAATAGGAAAAAATAATTATCCCCTTTCAGGTTTAAAATGTATAACATTAATTGATTAAATTATTTTATTTCACCTCCCCTGATCCTACATACATACAAAACACACACACATACGCACACATATACAAGCAGGAATATCACAGCAAAAACCCTCCTTTCTCTCTAGTAAATCATTTATCATTGTGGTTTCCCACAATGGAATTTGCACAAATGAATTTGCAACTGGTACTGCTGCAAACAAAGGGAGATGGAGATGGCTTTAGACACCTGCGTTCTACCAACAGAATCCATGCTTCTTATTCATTCATTCATTCATTCATTCATTCATTCATTCATTCATTCATTCATTCATTCATTCATTCATTCATTCATTCATTCATTCATTCATTCATTCATTCAT